CATTTTGTATTTATTCAAAAAATGCATGAATTCGCTTTTTGAATTTTCCCTTAAAATGCATCGATCCATAGTCGAAGCAGTTCAAATAAAGCTGTTCTTTTGTAGTGTTTCATATGGCAGTGTCTGATGTGACATTACCAAGCTGTGAAAAAAATAAAAATAAAAAATCAGTGAAAAACAAAATCAGTGAAGATGGCTGAGAGAGGGAGCGAGAAAGAGGAGCGAGGTTAGGGGGAGATTATGGATGTTAAGTCTCAGTGCAAATGGACTGGAACAATAATGCAGACAAAAACGGAAAGGAGAAAATAAAATGAAGGAATGTAGCTGCAACTCATGTAGAGCAGAATAAAGGTCAGGCCTGGGTGAGGTGCCGAGGAGCAGATGAGCTTGGCATTGTCTAAAAACAAAGAGGAGAACAGAGCCCGTGTTTAGGCATGAGATATTTTAAAAAATCCCAAACATCCAATCTTTAGTTTTGACACGGACCAGTCACGACTGTTAACAAAACCTTTGTTTGTAGCAGCCCATGTGATGTTTCCATAGGAATAAGTATGTGTCAGACACACCCAGTGTGGACAGATACTACATTTAGACAGACTGTGAAAACACGGGAGAATCATGTGACAGGAACGGGATGGGAATAACAAAGGAATGAAACACCGTGACAGACAGCACAGGTACTATCCAGAGATCACCTTGGTTTTTGTCATGTAGAGTTGCTGGCAGTGTTGGGGTAATTACCTCAAATTCCCCAGAGCGTCAGCAGAAGTTACTTACTGATGATTTCAGTAAAGTCTGAGCAGATGTCAGGATTTAACAGGAACAGCTTCTTTTTTTAAAACTTATTTTTGTCATTACACTTTTCTTTTCCAACGTGCAACGCAACCATCACACCACAGCTGTCAATCAGAGTCAGACTGAAATGTGTTCACTCGTACAGAAAGGCACAGTCGGTCGACAACCGGCTTCCAGTCAGATAAGACTCTGTTCTTGACTCTTAATGTTTTAGAAACAGAATTTTGAGTGGATCTCTGTGTGTTCAAATTTGCATCATCTCTCACAGTCAGATGTGTTCACACATACATGACAGACGGCCCTGTGAGGCCGGGTTTAAATACAAAGGATCAAACAAGTTGTTCAGAACCAGGCATGCTTTATGTTTTTTTTAAAGTGCTCTTTTGTTGCCGTGGAAATGTATCCAAGGGCATTTTTGACTATTTGAGTGTATGGCATACTGCAAATTATTTAGTACAGATTTTTTATCCTTTATCATTTTTTGGTAATTATATAAAATGTGACTGCTTTTTCACATTTATATCATGTAATACAGAGGGTCCTCAACATACGTTGGGTTTCAGTTAATGGCAAGGAAACTCAGAAATCTCACTCAGAGTTAGTCAGTATAAGAATAATGGACTTCTTAACAAGACTTTCTTAATACATTGATATGTAGGAATGGTGGCAACAGTGAAACAGAAAAAAACAAACAAAACAAAAAAAGCAACTTTGTGGCAAAGGCATACTGTCAGTTTTGGTTTAGCTGCTGTGACGTAAAGAAATATATTTGAGTTTCCATCACATCTATAACAATAAAAACATCAATGAATCACCCTGGGGGGGATTAACAGGTGAAACAGAGAGAAGTGACTGCCGCAGGCAACAAGAAATGTCTGACTGATCAATAAGACATACTTAGAAAAGAACTAATGCTTTGTAACAATAAAGGAAAAATAAATAGGGATGAATAAAACATTCAGTTTGAAGATTTTTGCAAATATAAGAACTCGTAGAGAATCAATGTGTTTCTGTAAAAACAAGGAATAACCAGCAAAAAATATTTAGTGACTTTTACCACTGAAAGTTCAGTGACCTCTGTGTAAGAAGTCATCTTAACTTTTATCAACGCTCTGTAAAACCTTCAGGCCTACTACAGTATTACTGACTGTTTGTCATTGACGTCTGCTGTATCAACTGCTAACATCACAGTACTTTGAATTTCCTTCCATGTACAACTTTGTGTTGCTGGTGGGGTTTTTTTTTTCGGTAAATGAGAAATGTTTTAAAAAACCTAATTATTCTCTGGTTCTGTTGGGTTCTTCTGTGGCTCCTTATCATCTAAAACAAAACACTGTTTCAAAACCCATTTTAATAAGTTTGATTAGCTTCTCCCTTAGCTTCACGCTTCTTTTCCCTAATGTTACGCAGAAACGGTCAGGGCCTGTAAACACGGAGCAGTAAAAAAATGTGTGACGCACACGTTGAAGACTCGTGCGGCCATTATCACACTCCTGTTGTTCTGCTGAAGTAAAAGAAAAAAAGGGAAACAACAGCCTTTTTTCTGGATGACGGAGGGTCACAGTTTATTTTAGAATAAACACAGCGGCGTGTCCCACTTCTTTGCTCTGACAATTAGAAGACACTCGGCCTGTACTTTTCATCATGCTGAATGGGGATGTCCCATTTTAGCAGACTGTCCTTCTCTGCCATAGATCTTGAATATAAAACACTGACTAAAGAGGTTTAGTTATCACTGGGCACTTTTTTCAAGGCTGTTTTGTAGTACCTGTTTTACACAGTTGCTAATAAATTGAATCTACCATTCGGGAATAATCTTTTGATTACCGTACACAACAATGCACAGCTACTTTTAATATAATATAATTTGTTAAAACACTGGGTAGCTGTAGACTAATCACAATCAATCAAGATTAATTGTTATGCAATTATTCATGATTAATCATGATTAGTCAAGATAAACAAAACATGTACTTTTTTCTGCATATTTCTGGAACAGAAAAACAATTCACACCATGTAGATGTTTGTGTTTTTTAAACTGTTTTTGTGACTGTTTATTTTGAAATTATCAACATGGAAAAAGATGTTGAGAAAAATTCCCAGAGCAGAGTTGGTGGATTTTGTTATTGCTGTGAATGCTGATGACGGCTTACAGAAGGCATCAACAGTTACTTTTTAAAACTCATCGTCGTCCTCAACAATATTAATTAGTTCACAGTCTCTTCACACTCCATTTGCCGCCTGTCAGTCAGCTCGTCATCTGTAGACGTTTTATTTGCCATGCACTCGGTGAGACCGGATTGCAAGCTGGGCATCTGACCTGAAGTCAGAGCCTCTGAAAACACACGCTGGGTGTTGGGAAGATGTTTTTAGATTGAGCAGCTCCATGGAAATAGTGTGCTGATAAGAAGGAACAAATTGTGGCCGGATGGTGCAATTATCAAATTTACAATGCCTGTCATTCTTTCCATGTTTTAATTTGTATTTCAAACTTTAACCTGACTAATCTTTTTAAATGAATCAAAGATATTATGGCTTTAATTTTTACTCATTTGCACTCATTTTTTTTACGTTTTCCTAACCAGATATTCCATCTTTATAATAATCAGAGTATTTTCTTTGTTCCTCAACCATTTCTAACTGACCCTTGCATTGCCATTAGATCATGTGTGTGCAGTTGGTGTCCATCATGTCAGATTCAGGTCAGTGCAAATCCCACTACTCCTGTGGAGAAGAAAGGTTTTCACCACCAGCAGTGACTGTTGTCACAGGAAACAGCGCTCTCTTTTGTATGAACCCGAGAGGAGTAGAAACTGATGTGTGTGTGTGTGTGTGTATGACACGTGTCTACAGCTGGGTGATTTTCACCACTAACTACCCTAGACGTGAATACAGCTGTGTGATTTTCACCACTAACTACCATCAGTCAGTGGATGGATGACTGATGATGCTGAGTGACTGACTGTGCATCAGAGTGATTATTCATGTGCCAGGTGCAGTTCCTTCATGTGCTGTGAGCCAATGTATAGAGTCATGAAGGCGTTGCTGCTTTTTTGTTTTCCATCCTCTATACACTGTACATGAACAGTATGTAGCAACTTACGGTGACAAACTCCTGGCCTGGGGCTGCTTTCCGCCCATGATCCTTTTACATCTAGCGTTTCACGTGTGTCACAAATACTTTTGCCCTTGAGCTCTATATACTGCATACAGAATATATATATATATTTTTTTTTTAATTATTGAAATGCTGTAGTCAGGTTCAAGAATAAGAAAAAAAGAAAAAGACTCTTATATGATGTACGAGAAAAGAAAAAGACTCTTATATGATGTACAGTATATTTAGAATAATATGATGCAATACTTTTTTCTTCTTAAAATAGATCACATTATGCTTTATAGGCTCGGTTGCTAACATACTACTAGGTTAAGTATTTTCACAAATATTTTAAATCTATTAGTAAGTGTAACATTCTCTTCTAGAATACTGTGCTAAAGGAGCGTCGGGTTGAAAAGTTTCTTTGTCATACACATAAGCTGTTACTGTCTTTCTATTCTCTGTGAACGTCTCCTTTTACAGAAACTGAACTGTCAACACAGCTTCTGTGTTCGTGACCTAACTTCGTCAGAGGTCGTCGTGCTCACAGAGCCTAAATGGTGCTTCAGCAGACGAGAAATATCAGCACGTTGAAATATTGTAGGATATCTACAGCCCTGCAGCTGACAGGAGTCATAAGACCTTTTTATTTTAGTTCACTTTTCGGAAAATGAGGTGGAAAAGCATCCATTGTGAAAACATGGTGATTTAGACAGTATTCATAAATTCTTACAATGCAGCCGGCATAAAACAACACAGTGCTTGTACAAAAGTGATCATTTAAAGGAGAGGACATTTGTCTGAGGGCCCTGGAGTCTGTTTACCTATGTTCTTGTCTCGCTTACCTCTTTATTCAATTCTAAACTTAAATAATGGTGGTATAAACATTACGGTGTCGATTTGGGCTACAATATATTGCATTAAGTGACATAGTATAAGATGCAGCGCGGTGTTTCACAGAAGATTGTTTTTCTTTGGGAGGTGTTTTTTCAAATTCGAGCCTCCAAATCCACATTCTGTTGTCAAAATGCTCCAAATGATTTAAGGGAAGAATAATCAAAGATAATCAGCTCAATGATGTAACTGTTCACCTCCTCTTTCCCCCAGATTTTGCGAGAGCTGTCGCCTCCCGGCCTATGTCGTACGCCGCCGTGTTACGACTGAAGGCAGACGGAGCTTCCTCTGTGCTGAGCTCACGTAGCAGACCACGACAACACTACAGTAGTGGGCTGGAGACTACGGAGTGGCCTGCTTTTTCCAGTCAGCCGCTGTCGGCCTTACGACTGATCAGCTCTCAGGAGGACCACAGGAGTGAAGGTAAAAACAGCGGCTCACTTTTTCTTTCATTTGTTCAGAAAAATGGCCTTGAGCTGCATGTCAAGAAAAAAAAAATACAGACACTGGATTCAGACATCCCTCCACATTGACATGTAAGTTAATTATAAAAAAATATATTTGATTTGACTTTTAATAGTAATAATATAAGTTAATTATAAAAAATATATTTGATTTGACTTTTAATGCAATTTTTTTCTTTTAATATAAGGTCCAAAATTTGTAAATGACATGTCAACTGCCCTTAAACTGAATATAAAATGTGGATGGAGACTTATCTGTTCCAGGCCGTGACATTTATGAAAACCAGCAGAAGTTCATGTGACCTGCAAAGAATATGATTGGACAGCTTGTACAATTAATAACTGTAGTGTCTGAAAGGGGCCACTAGGAGGTCAGGTTGCTATGCAACACATTATATGAAAATCATCTCTCCAGATAACATGTTACCAAATGCTATTGCCCGCTAGTGATATAATAGAGAAATCACTTTTTGTTTATGGATACATTTTTTTCTTTATTATTTACTCTATTTATCAGACAAATTCACCTATTTCTGCACCAATAAAAATTGCACTCAATTGTTAAGTAAACCTGATGATAGATGATGTATAGATAACAATTACAACTTCTGCCGAGGATAATGAAGGCTTGTGTACACTTTAATGTAACTCAGAAGCCATGGCTTTCATTACCTATAAAACAGCAAATGGGAGCTGGATGAACAAATATCTGTAGGAGTGCTTGGCATTTTTTGTGCCTTTTTTTTTTTTTGGAACCACCTGGCTTCATCTGATTGAAATCACATCACGAGCGACTTGTACAGAGTGGGATTCCTGCAAACAGGAGGTGCCACACGAGTTCAGGTGACATTATTCTCACCGGAAGAAATGAACCCCAGTAAGGCAGGATGCTTCGGAGTTTGAATAAACTCCTCCAGACATGATTGGTGTGAATGCATCGTGCCGCCCGTGCACCCTGCCAACAATCTGCCATTTCCAGTCTGACTTTATACGCCTTGGCTTCCTGTCTGTTCACATTTGGGGCTGTAATGTATCTCACCTATCCATCACAGCCGTGTATGGTCTGCTGTGACCAGGGTCATGCTCTTTGTAAAATTGAAGTGGGATCACAGCAATATCCAACCCTCTCTGTGTTCCTGTCAGAGCAGGAGCTGCAGATGTGATGGATATTTTTGTCAAAGAGAAGATTTAATACTTCACACGTGGCAAACAGACTGTCATAAATCTACATGGGTCACTTGGCGTGCACATGTGCAGTCTGAGTAATACTGGTGGATATAATGGCAAATTGATGTCCTAATGTATGACTAATGCTTTCTGCGTCTAAAGCACTTAATTACCAGAAATATTAAGTGGCTGCAGAAGATGTGGTGGACTGAACTGAGGCCGATTACAAAAGTGCACGAGATGTTGGCGTCAAACATACAAACAAGACAAGTAGAGTTTGTTTTATTTATTTAATTTTTTAAAATCATACAGTTTTCTGTTTTCTGTCTGTCAGTTTGACTTTTATTTTTCTTTTAATATTTTTCTGACGTTATCACTGGATAACCGTAAAAAGCACTTGTCGTACATCTCTATAGCCAAGATGAAAAGAAAATGTCTTTCCATTGTCGGCACTGACAGGAGCGTAATCCCACTACTCAGGATTGATGTTCTGTGAATGAAAGTGATGCCAAAAAGTGATGCACCTTCAGTGGTTTTAAAAGGAGATATTGCTTCTGCCTCTGTGATTGACAGATGGTCATGGCACTTCAAGTGTAAGGATTTAAACAACTTCTGAGCCTTTGAGTGTGTGTAGGTGGATGTTTGTGTGGGTGTATCTATGTGTGTGTGTGTGTAAAGAGCAAAAAATACCTCTCATCCTCAGCTGCACAAATCTGGCTTTTTTGTCCAACTCTATCAGACGTTTAATGGCAGGTCAGAAACACAAGCTGTTAGCTAAAAAAAAAAAAAAAAAAAAGAGCAAAAAATCATTGAGTAAATATTTGTTCTCTAATGTTAAAGGAATGGTAGACCACAGCAGTTTTATTCCACACTGAGACATTGAGGACGATAAAAGCATTTCTGCTTTGTTAGTCGGTTTATTAAATACTCTGCAGTCATTCAAAGTCATGGCTAGTTTCACGTTAGCTGAAGCAGAGGACGTAGCCCTTTATGGCTCTCTGCCGAACCATACACAATACGTTCTGACTAATATCACTCTCCAGTGGCAAACGTAATTACTCAAGAAGGATGGTGACATTCCAGTCTTTGGGCTCCCCGCTAAAGTTCACTGGATTTCCAATAAAACAATTTCCACTGCGCCCACATCAGGTGATGGAAACTCTGGCCCTCTTCTGGGATCATCCATCAATTTAAGAGGGAAAGAATAAATTTGGAAAATTAACACACACACGTGAATTATGTCATAAAGTTATCGTATTTAATGATATGTCATTTTTGCAGTTAATAACTGCCTGTAGTCGGTGACCGGCGGATATCTGGCATCTGTTCATGTTGATTTGCTGCAGCAGTTGGAGCTAAAACCTTATGATTTCAAGTTTTTAATAAAAATATATTGTGTACTCTACACATTTTATAACTGCAGCGCTGTGGTATCTCCCTGTGTTATAACCACATGTACTGTTAATAAGACGTAAAAGACATGTTCTTATTCCTACTGCTGTGTTACACCGCTGTGAATGTGCTGAAGTGTGTTTTGCCTTATATGCCGTCATGGCTGCAGCTAAATATTGATTCGTGTTTCCTCCACTGATTGGAGAATAATTCTGAACGCTTTTTATTTCCCTGTGGAGAAATAAATTCCAATCATTGTCTGACGACGGGTGGTGAGACTTTAGAAAAGCCATAATTCCTTTTTATCATTGCACTTTTTATGACTAATTAGACCAACAGGATGCTGTCGATGTGCATTGTGTTGTTATTGTATAATTAGAAAATGTAGTGAAGCCTTAAATCCGCAGATAATTATATATATATGTGTGTGTGTGTATGTGTATGTATATATGTAAGCATATATTGATACTTTGTTTGTATATATGTATATGTATAAATATGTGTATTTAAATATATACGTGTGTGTATATACATACATACATTAATACATATATGTATTAATGTATGTATGTATATACACATACATATACACACACAAAGTATATGTATAATATTTTGATTGATAAATAGTATTTATCGATTTCTCTGACAAGGTCTCAAGCTGTTTTCCTTCACAAAAAATGTACTGAAAATATAACTCTGACCAAACTTCTTCTGACAGAAGGTTTTAGCTCAGAAGGTTCTAAAGATGCAACAGTTCAGTCAGAAATACGACCAGAAATGTATGTATGTAGAAATGTATTTGAGGCTAGCGGTCAATTAAGGTCATGAAAAACATCGAAATAATGCGTCAGATTTTGCATCATGTCATGCATCTGAAAATGTGATGTCATCGTGCTGCTGCTGCTGCTGCTGTGCCTGGACTTCAAGGGAGTGAATGAGGCAGAGAGGGAGAAACACTGCTGCTCTGCTGCAGCTGTTTCCTGCACATTAATATCAATGTTCAGGAACAGAAAAATGCTTCAGCAGTTTTGGACCAATATTTGAAAGTGAAATTTGTTATTCTAAATGACTGAAATTAATGTAGTATGAGGAATATAATTCTGTTCTCTAAATTACTGAAATTAATGTAGTATGAGGAATATAATTGTGGCCCAAATAAAAAAAAACAGTTATACTTAAAATTAAATTAATTTAACCCTTTGTGCCAGCCCACTATAACTCCCCGCCCCACAGTTTCGGCACCACTGGTTTAATCCTTCAAGCAAGGATGTTGTTACACGATAGCTTATTGTTAAATGACCTGGTGGTTTTCTCCATTTTCCTCAGTTAAATGGTCACTGGTCTTTGAATGGTCACTGGTCTTTGAATGGTCACTGGTCTTTGAATGGTCACTGGTCCATCATCCACTCATTCCTCTGTGCAGTGTTCAACAGGATGAACCAATTAAGTCTCTTTTCTTTGGCTAATTCAAGGTTGAAACAAAAAGAAAAATATAAAGAACATGTGCAGCCTGGACTGACAGGCAGACAGCATTAGGCACAAAAACACTCCACAACATACAAATAAAAATATTTTTTATATTTTTTTTAACGCAACAATATAATTGGTTACCTGGTATCTTTTAAACCAAAAATGGTGGGGAAAAAAAATAAAAGAACATTTGCTGCATAATTGTGTCTCCTTTGTATCACAGATTTGTTTTTTCCTTTCATTGTAACCACATGAACAACATCAGAGACCAGCCTGAGGTCAGTTAGTGTACCAATTTGACAGCAATTAAAAAGTGTTATGTGAAGAATACAAGGAGAAATTAGTGGCAATTTTCTTTTTCGTTATTTGTTCTTTTCTGGAAAATTATACACCCAAATAAAAGTGATCAAATAAAGCATCAGAATAATTAAACTCTTTTTTTTCCCACACAGAAAGTGAAGAGTTTGGTCCTGTTTTTATCCAAGAACCCGATGATGCTATTTTCCCGCTGAACTCTACTGAGAAGAAGGTGATGCTACAGTGTGAAGCCAGGTCAAACCCACCGCCTGTGTACAGGTGAGTCACCGTCTCCTTTCTGCTGTGTTTTTTAACGTTTTTTTTTTCCATAAAAAATTAAAATCTGGCATTTTTCTAATTTGTCACAGATGGCTGATCAACGGGACAGAAGTGGACATCGAGGCGGATTATCGCTACAGTCTCATCGATGGGAGCTTAATAATCACCAATGTGAGCGAGGTCACTGACCATGGGACGTACCAGTGCAGAGCAGCTAACAGTGTTGGTGTCATCCTCAGTCGAGAAGCTCTCTTACAGTTCGCATGTAAGTAGAACCTTTTCTATGAACTCGGAACTTGGCATCTG